ACAAGGTGATCCGTTTACAGATCTTCCAAACATGAAAGATGACTGAAGGAGGTGGTAGAATTCTGTATATATAGGTCTAGTATATTATGTAAACTATAACAATAATGAGAGTCAGATATAATCCTTATAAGACATATAGAAGTAGATTTCACAAATTTGTAATTAACGATTAATCTGCTATATAGTTTCCAATTGTTATCTATATATTGCACCACATTTTTCTTAAATATCAATATTTCCTTGATAACGATATCTGTATGTGTATCGAAACATGTATCAGAAGTAGTATATCCATGTAAATGTTTTTAAAGAGTCAGATATGTTTAAGCCTCATTCCCACTGGCAAATCAGTCGAATGAAATATCAATAGATTAAGTGAAACGTTAGGCTAAACAAAATTTTTGATCCTTCGAACTATAATATTTGCCCATGGAACAAAATTCTCTTTCGATCGGTTGAGATTTAAATGATCTATCATCTTAGAATAAACAGGCTATGTCCCTTAAAATAGACACCAACCAATCGTCATTTTAGATGTTCCATATCATGGCTTAGTGGCGGGGGAATGAAATTCATTCTCTACAAAACACCTGTTGGCCCGGACACGGTACAATCTAAAAGACGCTGAATCGTCATCACATTAGTTCTTTTGTACATCACTCTAATGTCATCCCTCATCATTACTATACATAAACGTCATTATTGACGGTTGACAAACATCTTTGAAAAAATGGAACGGTCCATCATACGTCATATAAGCTTGCAAGCTGTGTCTTCAGGCTTGTTATCTATACGATTGAGTGAGTAGTAGATTATTCTATTGGCACCACTCTGACTTTCAATTTGATTCCAGTCACCAAGTCGTCAATAGTAGAGACAGTCATCTAACTCATTTTCTTAGAACTCCACAAGCAAAATTCACGACTCTCCTAATTAGAAGATAAGAGTAGGTGTGATTTGGGAAGATCAACTACGTGGACATTTGTCCAGCGTCTGTCAATATATAAATGGGACATTATAAAGCTGTTACACTTATTTACACCCGGAGATATATCTACAGACATGTCTCCAATATTCCAATTAATACGTTCTTGTGAACCACGGGCAGGGTCTTGTGAACCTTGGGTATTATCGATGTAAACGTAATGGAACAAGAGACATAAAACATGGTAATCACTCAAACTTATATTTATATCAGTGAAGCAGGATAAAGCCACTAATCTCATATTTAAGGCTGACTTACCACAGGCCAAAACATCCCTTGTTTATTGTTAGAAAATATCATTAAAAGAGATTTATTCATTTATTTTCCCGCCTCAAGTACTTTATGTGATTTTCTGCATAAATAATATTCTGTCGTCTAGAAAATTGTCAGTATCCGCGGACAACCAGTTAGCGATTGACATCCAGTGTTTAGTTGCATCAGTTGAGTTAACGAACATTAAGGCTGTTGTTATAGCACTTGATGTTCGAATATCGTAAATTGTGTCCGGTTAAAAGAAGGCTTTAGTAGACCATGTAAATCTTATCTGAATAGGGAAAAGTCTAGCTTTGAAGAGATTGTAATAAATTGTAATTCAATCATTCCAGCAGTTAAACGAAATTAGCCAGCACATTTTAAAAACTAACAAGCATTTAACTTATTAGATTGTGTATGTTAAATTAAGGATACATTTCCTAGCTTATATTCGTAATTATATATATTTTCAAATTCCTTCTTCAATGGAGCACAAACAATTTAATAGATTTATTCAAGCAATTTTTAAAATAAAATACGATATTGAATTAAAGGCTTTTAAAGACGACCCATTTTTTATATATATATAAAAAGTCTTTATCTTTCTTTAGAGTGTTTCATATTCCAATGAGAAAAATATTATTAGTATTAATCGTAGATACTGAACGTATGAAAATGGGTCAAAATAAAGTATTGAATTGGGTTGATCTGACGTGTTACTTCGATTAGTATCTGGACAAACTTATTACGATTAAATACTTTGTTTCCAAAGTAGCCTTTTTTAAATAATATTAGTTTAATCTTTGGCCAGCTATCGGTAAACAAAATCGGTTATATTTCAACACTAATAGATTTATTTTTTGACGTAATATTTTCAACGAAGACAGACTGTTATCCCACAAAACAAATCAACAATCAAATCATTTTGACCTATATCAAACTGGTCTAGCCATTTTAAGAATATATTTTAGAAAACAAGTTTCAGTATCAATACTGGTGATTAATTTGTTGGTTGGAAATATGAGAACCTGTTTCAGTTTATAATTCGTATAATTTCACAGCATTTACACTTCAATTTTTACCGGAATGGAACACATCCAGACGACAATTCTTCCAATCGCCTGCCGCTGAGACACGATGGCGACAAGCCCGTAAAATTTCAATTCAGTATTCAAAAAAGCTCCATTTTCTTAGGAAAGTTGATCCAGGAGGCGTCTGTGTTTTCACACGTTAACCTTGTTAGATGACTGGTAGGTGGCTAGCGAAATAAAACTAATTTATAATCACAAAAACCACCCATCATCTTGTAATCAGTGACAAATGCATTTTGACAAGATGGCTGCTCCCATACACTACCATTTTGACAAGATGGCGGCTTCCGCACACTGTCAATTTAATTCTATCAATTACTAATATTTCAACTTTTATTTAATTTTTTTCTTGAACATGCAAGACTGGCACTTAATGTCTGGATTTCTGCTGAACCTTGCTTAGTCCGTATCAAATCTTATCTACTAGTGTGTCAAGGTGTATTGGGTATATGTCAAAATAGTGCTGCGTGTATTATTGAAATCATATAGTGAAGATTTTGATTGTTCCAGAAACACATATGACTATAATAGATACTAGAAAATAAAAAACATCTGTACCAATTTAATTGTTTTCCTTTCATTCGAAGAGTTCACATAAGTCTTATGGACGATTTTGGAAACTAACTGCAAAACAATAGCGCCAGCAACCGTAACCAATTTAAATAACAGTATGTATATTGACAACAGCGTATTTGGCTTATTGTTAGCAATTGAAATACCGCTTTACTTTTATTCCACATTTATTCTCCAATTATTTATAAGCTTTGAGAAATGTTATGGCTGCATACATACATGGAGAATCTATTGTAGATACCTATTGTGACGGATTATAAAGTATGTTTTACTTTACTTTCAATAACGTTTTCGGGCCCCCAACGCAGATTTAAAACATTAAATTGATAGCATAACCATATCAAATGATTCAAAAACAGGACAAATTTAATCACGGATACTTCAAATTATTCATGGTAAAAAAGTTTATAGCAAATCATTCACCAGATTCTGTTGTTCTAAACACATATAAGATGGTGGCTTACTGGGTTCATCAATTTAGATCTTTTGCCATCTATGGTGTAAAAGACAGACTTCTGTACTGATGGGTTGGTGTAAAAGACAGATTACTGTACTGATGGGTTGGTGTAAAGCGCTTTCTTGATACCAATTGCCTGCAAACAGCAAAGTCACCTGGAATTCCAATGAACTAACAGGGTTAAAGCTGAACCCTCGATCATGTGGTATCTAAACGACCTGAATGCTAGGTCGACAAGAGATAATTTCATCAACCGTATGTAGTTTTACGCCTGCTTTCATCCAAGGTAATATCAGTGAATGGGGCTTTCACTTTTTATGCCGTTCCCGGAACAGTACGGATTATAGTGTAAAGTAGTCACTGTGCCACGCGATGTCATCTTGATTACTTCAAGGCAGTTTTGATTATGAATATTTTCAATTTTCGTTTTAATTGTCATTTCCGGACTACTTCGTTTTAATCTTTCTCATATTCGTGACTTCAAGATGACGAATCTTCAGGTTCGCCCATCAAATAAAGCACTAGTAATTATACATGAAGATTTGGAATATCCAATATTTACAAAGTATTACAACGGTTCATCCATTTTATATCTTTACTGATAATTTAAATGAATCTTGTTATCGTTGTCATTTTACTTTGGTGGTTACAAGAAAAAATCAAAATGATAAACCATCATTTATAGAATATCGCACAGACATTATGTAGACCAAACAATTGATTAATTTTTGAAAGTAAATGTCAATATCCTTGAATATGTATTTTAAGACACCGTGTTTTTAACATGTTTATATAATCTTGTTTTTCAAGATGGCGAACTAATAAAATTTCCCTGCGTTTCATGATAGTTTGTGAACGTACCGATGATGAGTATTGCATATTTTTGACAAGCCATCTATCGCTATATTGAAGTAAGACAGTAAAAAATTCTTGAGTTATTTTGATTTTGGCAGCAACGAGTAATTCATCTGTAGAATGTTTTCCAGTCTGTTAGTTTGGAAGAAGATGAAGAGTTAATGAGGCTAACGGTAAATGTTCCATGAGAAATGAGTGGTTGCGATTATTTAGCCAGATTTGTGGACGCTGTAGGCGGCCATGATTATGGTCTGACTCGTTGAAAAGCGAGTTTTTGATGAGTTTTCGAAGTTTTTATCATCAAAAAAGACAATTTGAACGTAAAACTGTTTACAGCAACCAAAGAAAAAAAAACTTGATCTCATTTTTTTTCTCCCTCATTCTAATGGAATTTAGTTGATAACTATATTTGGAAAGCAAAATGGCCGTGGAAGGTTTCAAACTAAAAAGGAACAAAGGGTCATCTGTTTGTTAGATATAACTTCCGCTTTTTACAGATGCTAGTCCTATCTGAAATCGTTATAGTGCAACATGATCAGATATTTTTTACCACTTTATTGATGAAATCTGTGTTTTCTTTGAATTTTCCAAAAAATAAATCATTTTGTAAAATAATATACACAGTAAACCATGTGTGACGACAGTAGCATATGCATTAAATGTTATTAACATACACGAAAATTATGTTTGAGAGTCATTAACGAGTGTTTTGTGATTGAGTTTCCTGTTAATTTATATATATATATATATGACGTCCCTTTCGTTTTCGGCAAGTTATTTTCAGGATGTGATGCACTGTTTAAACGTGACTATTAAATAACAATAACATCCTCTTAAGACCGACATGCTGAAAATTGTACGATCACTGGAACTTCTCTAAGTGCAGGGCAGAATACACGAAGCGAAATCTCAATACAGGTAATAGTTGTAATGTTTCATGTAATAAACATCGACCTCGCAAACTAAAGCAAGACATTAAAGATCTTATCCGTCCAGTCTATTCAAAATATGCGTAAGCTATCCTAAGTCCATGGGAAAACACTCATACTGGGCTCCTTCACGTCCAAACTCGACGGTCAGATAAGTTGCTAGACCGGAAGTACTATAGGAAATTTTCAAACTTTTAACATGACTATTCGACATGCCTTGCTAATAAATTGAGTCGCTATATTAACTTAAAAGACCTGAAGGTGATCAAATCAGGTGTTATTGGACACAAAAAATATTACCTGGGTTTACGATTACTTGGCACCAAAAAATAGTGTCGGTTGGGACATTTTTATCGCGGGGTTTGTAGGATAAGATTGAATAGAAATAACTGAACTAATAACTTCATCTTTTAATAAACTACACCGATACTTGCTTGTATTCTATAGCCTTTTTTGTCATTTATATACTTTAAATGGTTTATTATAGCTAAATTACCGAGTAAGGCTCGGGAAAATAATGCACTACGCCACGCCAAGACCGATTTATAGCACATGGATAATAAGGAAAAGGAGTTTAGGGTCGTCGATTGTTCTATAAAAAAAGGGTTGGTCGGGTAACCGTAAACATAGGCGCGCATTTTTTGTCCTTTAAAGACAGTCATACTGATAACGCCTATATGTCATAGGTTGTTGCAATTTTTAAAAGAAAATATATAAAAATGTTTTTAATTTAATTTGATAGAGGTGTTATTATAATATTACCTCTCACAGAAGAAATATAAATTGTTGTATTAATGACAGTACAGCAATGTATATAAATATATATCTATGATCATATTTCTATAATAATAGACGATCTCTCGTACTAGTTGCACCTAAACTCTTAATATTGCATACTGCACCTTTTTTTTCTTTTGTAATGAAATACATTATTGGCTTTAAAATTAGAAAAAAAACAACATATTATTTAGCACCAATAAAGCAATAGTTTGTTTTGAAGAGAGATTCGGTGCTTCAGTGAACAAAACCGACTTTTGTTTAAATACGGCTATACAAAAAGTTCTGATATACTACTAAAACTTTATCTGACCGGAAGTTTGTTGTGCACGTGATAGAAGATTGTTCATTTCTCAGAATAACTTGATTAATAAGACATAAGAAGAAATGAAAGGAACTAACTGTAATGAAACTCGCTTTTTTCTATCTACAATGGGATACATTTTAATTTGCCCTTAGATATGATATCAACGGTAACTATTAGGAGGTCCTGGTTGCGACCCAGCCTGGGTTCCCCTTTTCAGTGGTGCAGGATGGAGGAGGGCCTGTCCAGGAAAAATAAAGTCGCTCGGCAGGGGTGCATCGATGAATATCGGCCTAGCTCACCGACCAGGAGGTCCTGGTTCCGACCCAGCCTGGGTTCTCCCAATAAGTGGTTCAGGATGGATTGCCTGTCCAGGACTGAGACGAAAAACCGACGCCCCGCGAATAGTATTGGCAGCACGTTAAAGATCACACGATAGTTGGACATCAAAATAAAAGTAGGTCATAGTGCTGTTTGGTGTATACTTCAAGTGTTCATTATCCCAGTTGGTGCAAAAAGTATGACATTTAACCATATTTCATTCGGTCACTATAAGATGTTGATAGTAATACATACACATAAAGCCTTGTACGTATTTTTAATAGTGTGACTTCGGTTGCAGTTGTTTTATAGGGAAACCCACAACACCTGCCAATAAACCAGGTACATATAGAAAAATACTTTGACCCGAGTAACACACGTTTTATATAGTTTTCTGATAAATGAGAAATCCCCATGCTTGTTCATGAACGATACTTACTGATTATCTTTAACTTCGTTACATAGACACGTATGATACTTTCGTCAACGAATAATTACATGTATATTTTTATTTCAGTTCACACGTACACGTATTTACCATCCTGGCAGAAAAAGCCATATCTGATGGACAATTTTGGATAATTTCAATATATACACGTGTAACCAAGCGATCATTTTTAAGAGAGAAGGTGGCTTTGCTGTTTCACCATATCATTAAAAATACCGTAACGCTATTTGCTTTCATGTCGGGGTTTTCCTGTGTGGCGATTTCATATTGTACCCAGTTTGTATTGGCATCTTGTGCATAGGGCTCGGTTGAAGCCACGTCAATTGCGTAACTATTTGATTCTCTATTTTCATAAAGGTACACAATAATTGATGTATGCTATTGCTTGACTTTGTGTTTATATTTAAGATACCTTCCCGCTACAAACAGTGATTTGATGGACTAAAACATATTCAAACTAATTAATCTATCAAAAGTTTGCTTCAAATCTATTTTTATCATAGATATGTTTATTACGTGACTATAGAGAGAATCTATTTCCAGCTTGTATTTGTCGTTAGTCGCTATCCATTTACCATAAATATCGAAGCCTAAGTAAATTCCTGGGTTGTCCTTTGTCAAACTCTTTTTCCGCCGTTTAATCGCCGAGTCTACTGAACGTTACGTTCTCTCAATGTTCTTAGAAGCGTTAGCCATTAGATCAAAACAAAGGAAGCGTTCCTTGCTCCACTCGAGGTGACCGGCTATCCTGTGTGTAGTGTGGAAAAACTGATAGACTAGTGAATGGTAATTTAGAAACATAGAACAATATTTAAATCCTAAACGTTTCAAAACTAGAGCCGTTCCAAATCAGGTGTTGGTAAGATTGGCATATTTTCTTGCAAAGCGGAACTTGACTTGGTAAGCGAAGTATCTTTGATGAACTTCTTTATTAAAAGTGGGCTATTGCGACCACCATGATACAGAAGCTGTTTAATGACTTAAATTTTACTGTCATTTTTACTGCCTTGTTCTATCCTATTTGCTTTTTATATGTAAGATAAAAATGATATGGGTGTTAGCAAGTAGTATATCTCTGAATATTTTAGCGATCATACAGCCATGCCTTATCTTGGGCACGTAAATCAAAAAACAATCCAAAACGTCATTTTAAATCTTAGTTTAAAAATATGACGTTTTTGTCTCCCCCACCAGGTGTGTATAATGGAACACTTAAATATTATGACATTGAAGAACGTGTTATTTTATGTATCTGGTAACCGTAGACAGGTATAATTGTCAAGTACATACTTATGTTTTTATAGATAAATTTACAAGCTTAATAATGACACTAAATCTTGCGATTTTTTTTTTAAATTTTAAAAATCACTTTAAACGCGGATAATGTTATGCAGAGAATGTAATAAACCACTGGCGATAAAGTAATTCAGTGTAACGCCTTATCTTATATTCCAAGTGGTTTTGGTGCATCTTATACGTTGGTCATCGAATGGGTTTTGTTGTTTTTTTTAAATCTGGAGCGAAGCATTTGGGTTCATGAGAGGACATACTTGCTTGATTTTTAGCATTGTGCGACCTTCCGTTCCGCAGTTATGCTCCTTAATTGGTGTGAAGTACTGCGATCGGAGAGTATAAACCTTGTTGATTTTCACCATTCTAGGACATCTTAAAGGCTCTCCGTGTTTTTCTCAAAAATACTTTTATGTGGCCGTATTTCCACGCTTTGTGTGTCTGTCTTTGTAAATGAGAGAGAGAGAGAGAGATGGGGTTTAACGTCCACCCGACACAAATTAGGTCATTTCGGGACTAACACATGGTTCAGTTTTATTTCAATAATTCGCTTGCACGTAGGGGTCTTTAGCCGGGGGAGGAAACCGGCGACCCTACGCCTTATCACGTACAACCGGGGAATCGAAACCATGCCAGTTGACTCAATGACAGACCTTATGATACAGCACGCGCGTGCTAACCATTCGGCCATCCAACCCCCTTGTAAATTATAAGCTGCGGTCTTTAAATACTTTTTGAAAACAATTGGTATATGCCAGAATGTAGTTAGTTAGTAACCTTATGTTTACTATAAGAGTATATTAATTGGACTTTTTCAACTAGGAATGGCAGCAATCTGTAAACCAATCCTGTACCTGGACTTTTAGCGAAGTTTAGCGACCCTTAACGTAGGATTCCCCGTCCCCGTGCCAAATTCCTCCAAAAAAATTAGTGTGTTAATTGTATTACGTTTCTATGTTGAAAATATATGATTTTATGGGCGTGGATAAACATGTTTCATACAGAAGTGTAGAGACGTAAATGATGCAGAACTGTAAAGACGTATTCTACAGAACTATATACATGTATCATACAGAACTATATACATGTATCATCAGAACCGTATACAATCATGTTATTATATTCTAGAGCGTGTTCTGTAACTGTGTTCTTTCATCTGGTATCAATCTGATTACACCATGCGTCGATAACTCGAGTATAACGTAATATTTTCTTTGCGCTGCAAATTATTCTTCTCCCAATTCAACCAGGGTTTTAAATGCGTGTATAGAGGAAATAGCCAAGGCGATCGTAATTCTATAGTATTTTATCGATTTGCACGATAAAACATCTAAATCCATAATATTTGTAGTTGGGCATGAATAGCCGCCGAGGGAAATTGCTGGGATAAGTCTCGTGCCATCAATATCGAGGTATTCATCAGACGAGTTATGGCCCGTGAAAGGAATCAAGCGACATTAGACGAGTGATCTTAGAAAATCAATCTGATAGAGCATCGATTAGACCACTGACTGAAAGCACTGAATCACTACAGCACACTACACCACCCGCTCATTACATGCTGTGATCGCTCCGAAATGCAACTAGTCCCAACGGAAATCTATCTGCAACTCCATCTAGCGGTAACCGGGTTTTAATGGGAATTAGTGTTTCAGATAACCATTCTAAACCACGCATTTCCTTCCATGCCACAGTAAATCGTCAATAAACATGGTGAAAGCCGATCGAGTAAAGCAATTATTGGAATATGAATACAGGCGATACACATTTAATACTTGAAGTCTTGAACACGTATGAGGCATTGCTGTGATAGGAGAGATTACTGATAGCGACGAGACCTGAGCTAATA